AAAAAAAAAAAAAAAAAAAAAAAAAAAAAAAAAAAGAATTTAAATTAACTAACTGCTCACTGAAGGCAATTACCAGCACTTACACTATCAAGCCCAGTGACTGGGGAGGACAATTGCTTGTTTCTGTCAGCAGGACTCTAGATACATGTCTAGAGCTTCAGATCCTACACTTCCTTCCTAGCTCCATTATTCTTGACCCATCTGACCTCGGGATTACATGAACACCCTCCACTCTGTCTCCCCATCTACAGAGAGGTACAGGCCAAAGTCTCCACGCCCCTGGGAAGGCTGTCACTGCAGCAGCTAGCTTTGAGCAGTTGGTCTTCCTGCCTGTACTTCCTAAGTGCTGGGGCCACAGGTGTGAACAGTCAATAAGTGCTGGGACCACAGGTGTGAACAGTGAGTAAGTCCTGGGACCACAGGTGTGAACAGTCAATAAGTCCTGGGAACACAGGTGTGAACAGTCAATAAGTGCTGGGACCACAGGTGTGAACAGTGAGTAAGTCCTGGGACCACAGGTGTGAACAGTCAATAAGTCCTGGGACCACAGGTGTGAACAGTCAATAAGTGCTGGGATTACAGGTGTGAACAGTCACAACCAGGTTCCTGCATATTTAGCCTTTATAATGATTGATTTCTTCCCTCTTATTACACTCATGCTTCTGGATCCTTCATCTTAAAAGGAAAAAAAATTCTAACCAGGCCCCTTCTTCTATGTAGTGTTTTTCACTTTTCTCTTCCCACTAAAAATTCTCAAAAGAAGAAAAATCATAATTCAAGAATGACCTGCAGTTCCCACTGAGTGCCAAAGGACCATGGAAAATCATTTCTGCTCTGGGCCTTTAGGAACACAGCCCTACCTATAACTCATTTCAGATTGCTGGCTTCCAAGTGTATTGTTTGATTGGTTTTATTTTGAGATGAGATCTTGCTATAGGCTGGTCTTGAACTTGTCTACTTGCCTTAACCTCTGAGAGTTGGGAATACAGGCAGGAGCCACCACATATGTGGCCATGTGTCCCAGCAGTCCTGGCAGGCTAACAGACTCGGCGGTCCTTATCTGGTTCTCATCTCACCTGCTATGGGCACTCCTGAGCCTCAGTCTCCAAGGATGACACTCTTCTGTCCACCTACTTACGGCCCCTGCCGACCTCATTCTCAACTGCCCTTAAGACCGTAAGAATCAAACGCCTATGAACCGATGACCAAAAACTACACTTCAGTTCAGATCTACCTCAAGAGTCACATCAAAGCTCCAGTCACCTACAGACATCATCTGGATGTCCTCACACCCTAAGACTCAACAAGCACAAAACGAAACGCATCCTCTTCCCACCCACCAGACCTGCTGATGTTCTAGGCATCCAGCCATAAGCCAGAATCCTAACACTCTTCCCTTTCTACCCAACCAGACACCAAGTCATCCCCATCAATTCTCCCTCCTGAGTTGCACTGGGAACCACCTCTTGCTGCGCCACCCACTGAAGAAACTCTGGTCTACAGGAGGGTGGCAAGCACGGCTCTGGCAGGCCTTCTCATTCCCTCAGCCTTGCTAAAGATCATTACATCACCTCCCTGAAGCTAGCCACCACGGTCTACTCCCTGATTTCACCACTTCCTCCTCCCGAGGCTGACTACCAAGGTCCAGCTATCAACGTACTGAAGTCCAGCAATCAAAAGCCCCCTTTGGCTCGCCTAATTAACATGCCTATTAAAATTAAACACCTCATCCTAACACAGGGTTTCCCATTTTACCTTTATAAACCAACATTTGCCTATGGGCCACATGTGTCTCCTCTCTATCCAGAGGCGGCCTCTGTCCCTCTGGGACAAACACCCCTGCCTTTCCCTTGTCCCTTCCCCTTCTCCCTCACCCCATCTCCTACACCACCCCACCCTAGCCCATCCTAACCCAGACCCCCCCTCTTCTCCTCCTAAAATCCCACCTGCAAGGTCATTTGCTGCTGTGTTCTGCCTGAGTCAGAAAGCAGCCACATTAACTTTTCTTCCCCACTTAAGAAAGGTTCTCTCCGTGGAATCAGGTGTTTGGATGTGGTCCGGGAGGCAACCCCACCCCCACCCCATGCGGGGGATGGGTCTCCTTCCCCCACATTGCAGGCACCGCCTCACCTGGTCTGGTCCAGCAGCCTGGTTCACTCTCCCTTCACCCTCCATCATCTTCCTCACAGCTAATTTGACCAGGCACTACCCTGCTGAGACACCTGCAGGATCTCCTCATTGTTATAACGCCACTAACTCCCCGCCACTAACTCCCCGGGGTTCCTCCACCAAAAAACAGGCCACAAACGTTCTTGGGAACCTTCATGGGCATTTAGACACAGAGCTAGAAGTCAGTGAAATACAGATGTGACCCAGCCGGAACACAGTCCAAGAATGGAGATGTGTGAAGAAAGCATTTCTGAATGCTTGTGAGAAAACTCCAAGAAACCAAGACAAGAGTTTTGTGACCTCAGTTTCTTCAAAAACACGGAACTGCTTTCGTGCCCCTTCTGGGTGTACCAGATAGAGTTTACTTCAGATTATTCATTACGACTGGCTGTTGTTATCTGTTAGCCTCCACAGAAAAGCACGTTTTTGCCACATGCCGCGCAGCTCACCCGCTGCACTGCCCTCCGTATAAACTGTACAAATCGCCTGATGTTCGTTTGGGTTCCATTCTCCCAGGTTCCACTCTAGAGCAGTAAACAGGACTGTGACACGGAACTCACTTTTCTTTTTAAATGTCCACTTTCTCCACAGTTGGTGGTACATCTGGGGCACCACCTTCCAAAGGAGTCAATGCAGGATTCCATCAGTACTGACCTCGGCCCCCAGACCCCCAAAGGTCCTTAGAGAGGCATAATAGATACTTGGAATGGAGAAATCTTTACTCTGTCCAGTAGAACAGTCAGTCTGAGGGGAAAGGATCCAAACGCAGCCAGGTACTCTCCAATGCGGCTCCCCACACACGGTATCTCAATATCCGTTCACATCAGATCCAGCAGACAGGTTTCCCTGTATGCTGTGCTGGAGCATGGGAATGCTAGAGCTCACTTTCCTGCATATCTGTTCTAGATGATGTATTTTGTACTTTTAAATCTTTAATTTTCTTCTTCAAGTTATTATTGTTGTCATTGCAATTATTAGTGTGTGTGATGAAGGCGTGCACCGTGGCATGCTCATGAGTGTGTGTGTGTGTGTGTGTATGTGTGTGTGTATGATGAAGCCATGCACCGTGGTGTGCTCATGAGTGTGTGTGTGTGTGTGTGTGTGTGGTGAAGGCGTGCGCCGTGGCATGCTCATGAGTGTGTGTGTGTGAGTGTGTGTGTGTGTGTGTGTGTGTGTGTGATGAAGGTGTGCACCGTGGCGTGCTCATGAGTGTGTGTGTGTGTGTATGTGTGTGTGTGTGATGAAGGTGTGCACCGTGGCGTGCTCATGAGTGTGTGTGTGTGTGTGTGTGTGTGTGTGTGTGTGTGTGGTGAAGGCGTGCACCGTGGCGTGCTCACGGAGGACAGAGGACGACTCCCATCAGTTCTTCCAGCCTGGGTTCGGGGTGGAACCCAGCTTGCCCAGCGAATGCTTTTACCCACTGAGCCTTCTCAACCGCCCTTCAGTTTTCTTTCTTTCTGGCTTCATTGTTCTGCTCTGTTTTGCTTACGATAAAGAATCACTGTATAGGGCAGGCCTCAAACCTGTCATTCCCCTGCTTCAGCCCTTCCAACTTCCGGATTACCTGGACGCTTGCCTCCCTGCTTCTGAGTTCACACAGAACGCCCCTGCCCTCTGTGCAGCCTTACCTGAGATCTCTTCTATGCTGCTAGCGCGCATGTCCAGGAGGACAGTGCCGTTGATGAGACAACTCCTCAGCTCAAACAGGCTGTGCAGGGAGAGCGTCGCCACGTAAGGCTTGCTCCAGCGCTCTCCCCCATCTTCCACGTCCTCCTCAAACTTCAGCCACCTGCAGACAAGGACGAGACACCACAGACAGAAGGTGGGTTTCTCAAGAGGGCAGAACTCTGAATGGCACAGAGCCGACTGCAGCCCTGGTCTAAGTCCAGACACAGAAGAACCGGGAAAGAAGCTGTGGCCCGGGGCCAATCGATCCCACCCCAACCCTTTTTCTTTGGTTCGGTTTTTCTTTTTTTTTTGTTTTGTTTTGTTTTTTTTTGTTTTGTTTTTCGAGACAGGGTTTCTATGTGTAGTTTTGTGCCTTTCCTGGGACTCACTTGGTAGTCCAGGCTGGCCTC